ATTTTTGTAGTATAAAAAAAGTGATCTTCACAGACGTAAGATTAGTATTTTTCCAAAATCAAGTGACTATTGATATCATCTATTTGTGTATCTGGTTGCATAGCTTGTCTGTTGAGGTGTATGAAGCTGGTTTTAAGCAACAACAACAACAACAACAACAACAACAAATGAAATTCAGAGAGCTGAAAACAGAAGCTTTACGTCGTGAGACATAGCTGGAATCTAGTGATTCAAATATTTCGTGTCAAACGACGGTGTTTGTTCCAACTCATTGTTTTGGTGAATCAATAAGTAGTCATGACTTTTAACTACAAGTTCAAATTTGACAAATGCTAGTAATTTTCAGTGGTTTGCCATATGATGCCACTTCTTAGTGAAGACTACTTCCACACTAACTGATTCTATGGAAATCCCTAAAGTAAACACAATCTAAAGATTGTTATCATCAATTCAGTTTACTCTTGATTGAATTCTTTATCATGGTGCATTTATTAATTTCTGTCACTGAAATCATGCTCTGGTTACACTGATTAGTAACAAAAGTATGTACAGGCCATATGTATATGATAATATAATGTAAAGACATATGAATAATCATTCTGTTATGTAGTACTCAGAAAACGACAAGTGAAGAGATAGTAGAGGGGTTAATTTAACGTTTCGATATTCAATGTTAATGAAATTTCAAGCAAGGAATGATAGATTAGCCCACAAAAAGAGTTTTGTTTAAAACACAAGCGGAAAGTCTATAATATTAAGGCCACTAATTAGCACAAATTACGCAGATAACAAGGACGTAGGGAAACGTGACAGAAGAAAAACTACCTTAAATGTAACAATTACCAAGAAAATATATGCCTTCTTCAACTGGCAACGCTTATAGACGACCAGTCGAGACAAGTTCCTGAAAACCAGTGCTATTAGGTTGTCAAAACATTTAATATTACCCATAAAGACCAACTTTTTTTTCATTATCGAAATAAAATTAATATATGACTGATGAAGATGAGAAGAAATATGCAAATTATAATTGTTTACCTGAAGGATTTTTTGATTAAACTCTTTCGTAATTTTGATACATTCAGATTGGGCTTCTAGCGTCAATCGTCGAAAATTCCTCTGTTTCCATGTACACTCCATAAACTGTTTCCATTCTACTATTGCTTGTTTTAAAATATGCTGTTTGTAGTAACGATCAGCAAGTGCAGTACAAAAATCCTTAGAATATAAGGAGGGGGTGAAACATTACAGAAGTTGTACAGAATTTATTTATCAAGACAGATTATTTGAAATTTCTTGGTCAGAAACCTTTTCGTTGAAAAGCTAGTCGATATCATCCATCATTATAGAAGTGATAGCAATCACAGCTTGTTAAGTGCCAAAAAAAATACTTGCTGACAAAGCTTGTTTGTAATCCAAGGGGAATTGATATCCCATGAAAGATTTGAACATGCACTACCTACTGTTGCAGTCTGGTTCAATTGTAACATTTCTAACTGTTAAAAATTCTCATTATGAATATTATAAAAAGACATATAAGCGAACAGTATTGTTTTCAATTAGATCTCAACATATTTTGTTAAACACAAGGTTTTATAAAAACGTCTGGGAAAAGTGTGGCTTGAAATATAAGATTTGTAAAACTCCAACTTCACCTTTTCAGATGCCGTTTTACACCTGAGGCTAACAAGTTCATTTAACCTTTTAATGGTGTGTGGCGGGAGCCTTCTTTTCAAGAATTTGAAACAATTAGTTCCTTTGATGAGTTGTATTGAATTCTTTTATGTCATATTTGTCCTTCCCTCACTTCCAGTTTTCATATATATAATGACTTAAAAAGTGAATATGTGATTAGATTGTTCGAAATGTATGGCGCAAATACATCACATTTTTCAGATAATCTTTATCTTGTAATTACATTATCCAAATTCATAAAAGGGACTGATTGTCTCAACATATTTGTAAAATATCAACCAGTCAAGGTAATTTGTAAGATAACGACACCAAGGAATACGGATTGTAAAAAGGTTAATACGAATGTTCAGAATGACACGACAATGTAAACAGGTGTTCAGACATTGTAATGATACTAGTAATTTCTCGTTGCTATACAGGGCCGAATTGCTCGACCTCTTTTGGCAGATGGGCTCCTATGCAGAGGCCTCGATACTATTTATCATTCATGATTTTATATTGATCTCGGTGACTAGCAGAGGAATCCAGGAAGCGCATTTCGTTTTATTTGGGACTCGTAAGTTGGATCTACCTGCACCCCACTGAGTGATATTGCTCCTGCTGAGTCTCGAACTCAGTACTCTTTGCTCCAAGTGCAAGAGCGTTATCCACTAGGGCACAATAGCCACCTCTTGTGCAACGGGTGTCAGTTGTTGTAATGATATTTGCAATTTTCCGTTGCTATACAGGGTCGAAATGCCCGACTAGACGGATAGACAGACAAAACAGACCAGAGTGAAGAAAGACGATAAGGTTGTGTGATGATAGTGGAGGATGAAGGGGAGAGTGAATAAATAAATTTTGAATATGAATATAGTAGCGGGGTGAAAAGGGTGACAAAATGAAATAAAAATAAAAAGGGGGAAGAAATACATTTTCAAATTCATAAGTAAGGTCATTAATTAGGTTCTCGTTGGCCAAAGCGGGAATGAAGGCTCTACAAATTTCTTCTGAATACAGAGCCTTAGATTGTTCATTCGAATTCCTACAGCTTCAGCTATATGTAAAAGGCTGAGTTGAACTCCGTCGCTCGAAACGCTTTCATCTTATCCACTCTGTGATCGGTATGAATTAGATGCGACAAAACAGAGCTTCATATAGATTTAACGTATCCTTTACCCAACCATGAAGGTAGGTGTTCGGTAATATGTTGAGCAGGTTGCCTGGCTGTACACCTGATATAACTGTCTCCACAGGAGCAATTAAACTGGCAAATACACATTGAGGTGGCGAAACTAAGTAACTTGTCCTTCGTTTGATACGAAACAAATTGACTAGAAAACGATAGGCAGAGATTAGCTGCCCAACAATTTCCTTGTAATGATTCTCGACAGTCTGTGGAATAGAATCTCACTAAGTACATCATCACTAAATTGTAGCTGTATGAACAGTGGTTTCTTTCAAATGGTTACTACTTCAGGTCTTTTCATCGGTCTATTCATATGTCTTTTTAAATAAAATTGTGAGGATATCCCATGCAATTAATGAATTCGAAATCAACTCTAACTCACAGTGTAGAGTGTCATGTAAGCAGATGGATTTCTAACTCCAGCATCGCGCGATGCAGATTCATATGTCTAAGGGGATAATCAGCACTCTCAAGGCTGTATATGCACCTTGCAGATGAAAGCCAACAAGCCCGACACCTGGGTTGAGTAGGATGGTCTGACAGTTGCCTTCAAACAATCAAATTACATCATGATGGCGAGTCTTCTATCTTGGTGGCCACTTGGCAAAATGATCGATTGAACTCGGTCACTACTTAGGACTAGGTAGTATGAAGTTGTTTAACTCTCCTCTTCTAGTGACCAACTAGGGTGGATTTTTTTAAATGATTGTCTTTCATTCTGGTCCATTTTATCAACGTTATGCTCCGAAAGACGCTATGTGTGTTTTCATTTTGTAGTATCTAAAAATTCGTCATCTCCTAATTTCGACATACTACTTATAACCTATTACGAATATTTATCGTTTATTATGGGTTAATTTTACTTCACTGTTGAAATATTCATTGCTTCTTTCACGAATTTATTCTTGAGTTTGATCAGAGATATGTGAAAATGTGTAGAACCTCAAGGATTTTTTTTAAATATTTATTATTAGGCATAAATCATTATATTTTTTTTACAGAAACCACTAATAGTCAAAATCTCCCAAAAAATAATTGTACCCAGTGAATAACCCTGGTTACTGGATGATATATTAGTTACGAAGAGAGATGTCAAACTGGGCCATGAAGTTTGTAAGTCATTTGCAAATTGACCATTCTAGTTAAGGTATACCTGTTCATACAAGTCAACTGGCTAGTTTCAGGTGGTTTGAACAATTCCGCTTTATAAGCTGGATTTGTCTGAGTACACCGTTGATGAATGTGACACCAAACGAGTGAGATAGCCGTCGGGTGCTTGGATCACTTTCATCTAGTTGATGAAATCTGCAGATCAGTCTGAGTATATTTCTAACTACTCAGGTTGTTCAGTAGTATATTTCATTAATGGTGATGTAATTGCTAAAATAAGTTTGGTTACTGAAAAGCAGATTGATAATGCTGAGAAATCCATCGAATTGCATTTAATGAAACTGGTAATATGAGGTTTAGAAAATGAATATGGTGACTTTTAATAAACATCAAAATCTAGTGTATAGTAAGTATTTAATCGTTTCGTGATTAATAGTGCTCTTCAGTCATCTTTAACTTTGAATGGTTTTTTTAATTTTTATTTCGATAATAATCATCTTGTTGATTTTTCTCCTCCATTCACTGAGGCAAAACTTAGTGAGCTAGAACCGATACGCAAGTAGTTCAAGAAATCACGTTGCTAGTATCTCAATATCTACCTTTCACAGCAAAGAGAAACAAAAAATGAAAAATCAAATGTTTTCATGAAAATAATTAAATTCAAATCTATTTTAAGTATTAGTAGAAGCTAAAAAGACTTTATATGAATTTAAACATACAAAAATACAACTAAAACTATAGTCCTTGTTTAACTAGCTATTTACTGAAAGATTGTCACTCATCTAAATCATAATGTAACAGTCAAAGGGATGGATACAATCCAGTCAGAATTTAGGACTAAACAACACGTAATTGGTCATTCTCCAGTGGCTAATTACTGTATCTAGTCCAGTCCCACAGGAGGTCAGACATCTTCCGAACGGGTGGGCGGTAACGTCTTTGACTTTAGGATTGAGTGATGCGGGTTCAGAACTATTAGGGGACATCAGTTCCTTTGAGATTGCGGGTGCGCATTGTTGATGAATGCCATTAGGTTTGAAACCTATGTAAAGCAGGGCTTCCAACTGAGTAGATCCAGCAGATTGATACTTAAAAAGATCCAAGAAACTGGAATTTATCATTTAGACAGATGAACGCAACGAAGTAAAACGTATAACAGAGTTTATTTGTCTTAGTTGCAGCAATTCATAGCTATACAGAATGCAAAAGTCAACATAAGTAGAAATATCCTATCGTAAGAATGTGTGAATGGATGGATAATAAACAAATTTAAAGTGATAATATGCCCAACAATCTCTGGTCGATTAGGAAAACAAATGAATGAACCAGTGCTGTTATGTTCTCTTTTGGGCTGTATCTCTAACATATGAAGAATCTCAGTAAGATCTAACTTTTGATTTGAATTAATGGTCAATGACTTCTTATTTCAGTATTTCTGCTACCCTGAGTCTATTACAGCCTGGTTAGGCTTCAAGCAGTAGACTTCTATCAGTATGGGGCGGTGACTAGATGCAAGAGACAATTAGTGCAACCTAAACATATTTATACCTCAAAAAACCATGCAAATGAACTCATTACCCGTATCAAAGACGAAACACAGTTTTAAGTCTACTGACTGCTAAAGGCAGAAGAGGATCTCTTAAAAATGCTGAAAAATTTGACAAAAATAAAATAATAATAAAATGAAATTACGCAAGAATTCAGTGTATACAATGAAATAGAAGAACCTACTTTTCTTTTAGTATTCTCTACCTTTAAATTGAGTTGCATAGTATGTTTCATTCTTTTTATTTCATCAGTTAAATCACTAATAACCTTATTCTTTTGTGCAATTGTACGTTCATGATTTTTTGCAAGATCCCGTAAACTAATCACTTGTTCCTGAAGTTTAATCATATCAGTTCTTATACTGTAATACAAAAAATAATTTAAGTAGGTAATCATCGCATGAATTTGAAGACTGTTCATTTCAGATTGACATCAGCTGCATAGAACTAATAAACACTAATCAATACTAGACAGCTATGTTTCTTTCTTTACCTTATGACTGTTCAGTCATTCATCACATTCAGTATGTGTAGTTCATTCGGTTGAGAATTGAAAGTGTATATCTTTCAATGTTATTCAATGGTGATAACTCCAAGTTAGAAATGTCTAATTGGAGGACAATACCTAAATGACAGTTTATTCCCATAAAAAGGGATATAATAACTGACATTTAAATGAACAACGTATTATCTTTAAATAACTTCGACTTCATGTTCTACAGTCATATGCCTATACTGTCTAATTCTGAGTTAACAACAATCAGATTCCCTACAATAGTTCGTTAATAATATAATAATATAATATAATATAGTCTGGGGATTTAATCTTATGTGCTCATGAACACCTCTCAGTGTGTGATGAAGACAATTAACAGCTTTATAATAAGAAATTCAGTTCAAAACGAACTATACAGTGAAACTGCATACGTCATTTTCCATTATTTACTGATTTCCCATCAACTTGCAAACGGGTACCAGACTCCAAATTCTTCAGACTGTGTCTCAGCTGTAAATACTTAGGGATTAACAAATTTTTAAACCCCCTACCCCATATAACCTAATTTTAAAATTCCCTATTGTAGATATCCCCTCATCCCTATAATGTGAATTAATTCTATAACTTTCTCTTGGTCTACTGGTTGTTTCCTGACATAAGAATCGTTTATATAATCAATTTGGAATAGAATTCTAGTAGTAGTTAATTGTGACTACCGTTCCCATGGGACTTTTTTAAGACATTTTCAATATTATTATTACTATTACTGTAGTTCGAGGTTTGTGGGGATTTTAGTAGTGATAGTAATGATAATGATAACAATGAGAATATGAATACTGAAAAGATTGAAAATTACGTCATTTTGAAACAAGATAAGTGAAGATCAATTAAGAAGTTTGGTAAGTATGAAACTGAAGGAGGCTAGAGTGATAGTTGAACGATAACAATGATAATAACGATGGAGATAAGTCATTTGACTGATAAGCGAAGAAGTTCAAGAGGACATGATAGCACAGCAGAATGATAGTGAAGAGGTAAATATGCGAAGTATAGGAAGGAATAAAGTGAAAAAAACAAGACATAAATAAGAATGAAAAATTTCAAAATACTTCAACACCTCTACGATAGCAGATTCAGGGTGACCACCATCTCTTTCTGTACATATATGCTCGGTTTACGAACTCTAATCGCACATGCTCCCACAATTGCATTTTCTTATTCCGCTGTCTGCTGACAACCGAGAAGGCTTTAGTGGTGTCAAAATCATATCGATAATCCATTAGGTGTTTCGTAATGGAACTCCGTGGGATTTTTGACTCAGCTTGCCTCAGCCATTTAGGTAAATGCTCAACCATGTGAGTAGACAGACACCTTTCCGTACGACCTATCGATTTGCTTCCATAAGTACATTCAAAGTGGTATATACAGTTAGATATGTTGAAGAATGAAGTCATCGCTGTTCCTGATTGCTGAAACACCCGCCTGGTTGCTCTCAGAAGTACTAGCTTAGCTGCATAACAAGTTCTTTTGAAGGCCTTGTCTATTCTCCACTTAGCGACTTCCAATACATTATTATGATTTGTCCCTTGGGTTCCTAATGGAACATAGGGCTTCAGTAGCACGTCTCCAGTAAACTCTGTTCGCCGAAATCTTTTCAACCTGCCACCACGACAACCTACAAGCTCTCATTTCCTCCTAGCACGATCTCCTCTATGTCACACTCAGACTCCCAACTCGTCGCTTCCCATGGAGATTCCACTTGAGGGCCTGATGCGTGATGTCCCCAGTCGGCCTTCTCAGTGTATGCCCAATCCATCTCCACTTCCTTCCAGTGCATATTTGTTCAGCGATAGACTCTTGGTTGGCTCGTTGACAGCCACAGTTCCCTGTTGCCCATTCTTTCTAGCAATCTGATCTTCAGTAACGAGCCAGCGTAAGCAGTTGTTGATGAATGTCTGTAGTTTGTTGGAAATCCCTTTCGTAACACGCCAAGTCTCTGAACCATACAGAAGCACTGACTTGATTGGATTGCTGTTAAAAATCCGGATCCTGTTCACGCTTTATGCTGAGTGCAGAAGATCTCCACACTGCTTTCAGGCTAATCAACACCTGTCTTGCTGTGTTTCCGATTCTGACTTTAACATCCTCGTCTGTGCCTGTGCCACTGCCTGTAGTTGAAACAGTGCTGCCTAGATAGGTGAAGGAGGTTACTTCCCTCAGGGTTTCTCCCGTTCATGGTGATTGAAGTTTGTTGTTGTTGTTGTTGTCATTGTTGGTTGGGTATCTTCATCACCTCTGTCTTCTCTATATTCACCTGAAGTCCCGTCTCCCCTCGCTGCCCTGCCCTGCCTCTTCTGTCAACTTGTTAGTTTTTGCCTGTAGATCTTAAAGTTTGTGTGACATCAGACACAAGTCATCACTGACGAAATTCAAATCTTCTAGGATCTTTTCCCCAGTCCAGTGTATACTCCTCTTCTCGCTCCTTACAGTTTGTTGAATGGTCCAGTCGACCACAATCAGAAATATCATGGATGATAGTGGATGGCCTTGTTTTACTCCTGTCTTCACTTCACCTCAGAGGCATCACTGAGCTTCCCATTGTGAATTACTTGGCATATGGCGTCTTCATATAGTTGTTGAATGAGGTTGATAAAGGTTTGCTGTATTCCATAGTATTGAAGCAGTTTCCAAATTACCTCTCGGTCGACGCTATCAAAGGCCTTCTCAAAGTCGATAAAGTTGAGGTAGAGAGCTGACTGCCATTCTATACTCTGTTCTCTGATGATGCGAAGCGTTGCAATTTGGTCTGAACATGATTAGTACTTCCTGAAGCCAACCTGCCTGTTCCGGTAGTAGTTTTGAATCCAGTGCATACTTTAGTCTCTCCAGGATGATGCGGCTTAATATTTTGCTTGCTCTGGGTGGACAGGAGAGTGATTCCGCGCCAGTTCTTGCAAACACTGAGGTCTCCCTTCTTCGGCAGTTTGACAATGTAACCCTTCTTCCAATCAATAGGCAGGTACCTTCTCTTCCTTCCACACCTTCTGCAATAGTGGTGTGAGCATGTTCGCTGTTGTCTCTGCATCTGTTCTCAGTGCTTCTGGCGGGATTCCATCTGGTCCTGCTACTTTCCCACATTTCAGTAGCTTTATGGCGTTCAGGACATCCATTTTCGTTGGAGGATTTATGTTCACTTGTAGTTCTGTGGCTGGGCTGCAGGTGGTATTTGTGGACGAAGTGCAGGTGGTGGTCGATTCAAGAGCTTCTTGAAGTGGTCGGCCCATCGGTTCCTTTGTTTCTCTTCTTTCGTAATTGAATTTCCGTCATCACCTTTTATTGGTTTCGTCTGCGCTGGTCTCTTCCCAGATAGAGTAACCTAGTTATCTGATACAATGTTGTCAGGTCTCTATCTCTCCTACCTGCAGCCTGTTCTGCTTCACTTCCCAGTGTTTCGTGGAAGTGCTTTTGTCTTTGTGTGCACTCTTCTTCACTTCTTTGTCCCGTGAAGTGTTTTATACATTGTACTCAGTTCCTCTTGTCGTTGAGCATCCTTGCACTGCATTGGTTTATCTTCTACTTCACCATCCTCCTCTCCCTGCTCTATCAGCTTCCAGGTATCCATCGAGATCCATTCCTTATCTTCTTTCTTCTTCCTTCCTAATACCGCTGTGCAGGTTTCTTTCCACATCTCTCTCAAAGACTCCCAGTGTTCTTCCACACAGGTTTCTTCACGGATGTTCCTCGATATCTCCCATTTTGTCTTGATGGCTGGCTGCCGTGAAGATCTCCTTTGTAGTTTCATCCTTCAGTTTCCGGGTGTTGTACTTGAACTGAGGTCTATCACCAGCTTCCTTGAAGGCTTTTAACTTGATTTGGAAGGTTCTTTGCACTAGATGGTGAGTGGTGTGAACCTACATCTGCTCCTCTTCTTGACCCTGTGTCAAGTAGACTGCGTCTCCACTTTCTTGAGATTGAGATAAAGTCGATCTGATTTTTAGTGTAGTGTGTCCTGGTGTCTGGTGAAATCCATGTCGCTTGCTTTGTGGATATCCTTGTGCTTGAACACACTGCCTTGCCTCCAATCACCAAATTGTTTAATGCACAGAATTCAGCAAACAATTCTCCATTCTTGTTCATCACCTCACCGAGTGCTTCTCGGCCCATGGTTAGTTCTCTTCCTGTGTTGTCCGCTCCCAGTTCGGCATTCATGTCGCCTATTAGAATGGATTTTAATGCCGCCAACTGAGGTCTTGTCTAGTGTTGATTGCAGTTGTCTGTAGAATTCCTCTCTTTCTCTTTCTCTTGCTCTGCATTATTTGTAGGTGCGTAGCGTAGCATTGTATGATTGTGACTTTCCTTCCTTCCTTCCTTTTGAGTTGAACCTTGCTGTCATGATCCTGATGGTGGATGAGGTTGGTTCCCACTGTATGAGAGCCTTCGATGCGCTTGGGGACATTATGATAGCCACTCCATAACTCAGTGTGCTCATGGTTGTCGTGTGGGTGACAATATCGGAGTAGATTATTGATTCTCCAGTTGAAAGTTTTGAGAGTCCACTCCCATTCCATCTGCTTTCACAAATTCCAAGCACTTCGATGTGATACCTTCTCATCTCCTTTGCAATCTGTGAAGCCTTGCCAGCTAGGTTCAAACATGGTGCAGACATTCAATGTCCCCACGTTTACTTTCGCTTTCATCGAGAGATGAGAAGACACATCGGCCAACTGGCTTCCCGAAGTCAGGCTTTCACCAACTGGCGTCATTTCACCTCTCCGATTCCAGCGAGGAATAATTTTGTTATTATTTTCTATATATCGTTTGTGCTTTGAAGTTTGTTTAGCGGTTGGATTTGTTTTACGGGGTAGG